CAGAGCAAAAAAAACACTCCAGTCGTCTGGATTAGTGATCAGGAAGAATGTAAATAATGTGAATGAACTGTCTGCGTAGATTCTCAGTCATCCAGCTTGTGGAAAATCTCGGCACTTTAGTTTAAGGCAGTGGTTCTCAAATGGTTTCCGTCCCCCTTTGGAGGACAAAAATCTTAAATAGTCTTGAAATGAGCCAGTTTAAACTTACTGAAATTAAATATCATGAGCAGTCAAATAGTGCAGCGACAACCTGCTCAGTGATCAGTAAAAGTAACGGGGGGGAGGATAGCCTTCAGGTTTGTGGTGGTGGTCTCATCAGTCATTGTTGACATATCAAGAGCAGTGGGGAGCAGGAGATCCTCAGCTACTGGATGTGGTTTCTTGTGATTCTGTTACAGGGCTCCAGAGTGACTTTTCCAATGGTAGCATGGTGCGACCAACTTTCTTCATTGGTTGCACCAGCAAATGATCTGGTTGCCCTACCGCCTTGTTTTGGATCAGCACTGCCACAGCTATTAATCCACCATGCAGCTGATGAATAGTTGTTTCTGCATAACTTACAAGACATTTGTAAAATGTTTTAACCTTAAAATGTATTTATTTCGTCACCAATCCTCTTCTAATACCAGTCATTAACTGGACACAGGCTAAACAATTGCTAAAAGTGCCCACGGGTAGATGGTGTACTTTACCGATGTTCCCTGAACGCCTCACATGCTGCTCCGGTAGATGCTACATTTTACCGATGTTCCCTAAATGCCTCACATGCTGCTCCGGTAGATGCTACGTTATACCGATGTTGCCTAAATGCCTCACAGGCTGCCACGGTAGATGCTACATTTTACCGATGTTCCCTAAACGCCTCACGTGCTGCTCCGGTAGATGCTCTCTCGTCAATTGATAATGAACAGAGATTTCGTTTAATTTTTGTTGTCTTAAATTTACATTCTCGTCACAAATTAGTCACAGAAAAATGGGTCGTCAACGAAAAGTTTTCGTTTAAGTTATCGTTGGCAAAATTAACCCTGCCCCGGGGTTAGACGCGACCCCCCCGGCATCGCACTATTTGAGAAGGACTGGTTTAAGGCAACTTCTCTTTTTGCTTGGTGCTAGTTTGTATTTTCTTTCTTTTAAAACTGAAATTGAAGTTACTGTTCGTATATTTGTGACCCAGCAGATTTTGTCATTTTTCCAGAAGACCTGTAATAATTCCTTGAAAGACCCAAAATGCATGTTTGTTTGTTTTTTTGTGTGTGTGACAAGACATATGTGTTTCACTGATTCCATCATAGAAAATTAGGAGTTGTAGGAGTCGTTGAAAACTCATGGCTGCTATGATGTGCGTAGTTTTCTCAGGTGTTTGTAAACCGTAAACACAACGTACATCTCAGTGCTCTTCAGACCCAGAAAGACAAAAACTAGTTCACCCTCAAGCTAGAAAACCCAAANTCCAGAGCAAAAAAAACACTCCAGTCGTCTGGATTAGTGATCAGGAAGAATGTAAATAATGTGAATGAACTGTCTGCGTAGATTCTCAGTCATCCTGCTTGTGGAAAATCTTGGCACTTTAGTTTAAGGCAGTGGTTCTCAAATGTTTTCCCCCCTTCGGAGGACAAAAATCTTTAATAGTCTTGAAATGAGCCAGTTTAAATTTACTGAAATTAAATATCATGAGCAGTCAAATAGTGCAGCAACAACCTGCTCGGTGATCAGTAAAAGCAACAGGGGGGAGGACAGCCTTCAGTTTTGTGGTGGTGGTCTCATCAGTCATTGTTGACACCATATCAGAGCAGTGGGCAGCAGGAGATCCTCAGCTACTGGATGTGGGTTCCTGTGATTCTGCTACAGGGCTCCAGACTAACTTTTCCAATGGTGGCATGGTGTTACCAACTTTCTTCATTGCTAATGACCTGGTCGCCCCACCGCCTTATGTTGGATCAGCACTGCCACAGCTATTAATCCGCCATGCAGCTGATGAATAGCTGTTTCTGCAGAACTTACAAGATGTTTGTAAAATGTTTTAACCTTAAAATATATTTATTTTGTCACCAATCCTCTTCAAATATCAGTCATTAACTGGACATAGGCTAAACAACTGCTAAAAGTGCCCATGGGTAGATGGAACATTTTTCTGATGTTCCCTGAACGCCCCACATGCTGCTCCAGTAGATGCTACCCTGGCCCCACTATTTGAGAAGGACTGGTTTAAGGCAACTTCTCTTTTTGCTTGGTGCTAGTTTGTATTTTCTTTCTTTTAAAACTGTTTGTATATTTTTGACCCAGCAGATTTTGTCATTTTTCCAGAAGACATACAACAATTCCTTGAAAGACCCAAAATGCATGATTTTTTTTGCTTTTCGTGACAAGACACATGTGTTTCACTGATTCTATCATAGAAAATTAGGAGCTGTAGGAGTCGTTGAAAACTCAAGGCTGCTATGATGTGCATAGTTTTCTCAAGTGTTTGTAAACCATAAACACAACATACATCTCAGTGCTCTTCAGACCCAGAAAGACAAAAACTAGTTCACCCTCAAGCTAGAAAACCCAAACACAAGCTGAACATTGTTGTATATGTTG